AACAAATATCAAGCCTAGTTCGTAATGGAAACAGCTGACTGACTCTTTACCTTACTTCTCTTTGAAGACTTGGGCCCAATCCCAATTCTATTTTATACCCCTTCCCCTACCCCTCCGCCTACCCCTTGTCCCTTGAAACAGAGTGTCAAGGGGTAGGGGTGAAAATATTCCCCTAAGAATTGGGACACCACTACTATACCGTCACACGTCATCGTACGTCGTCTAGCTCCTACAATACACACACCTATACTGGTGTGCTGGTGTGCATTAGAGCCTTTAATTACCGTTCTATATTAATGTGCTGCTTACTGACACACACACACACACACACACATTTCAGAGATCGCACAGCTCACACATCCAGGAGCAAAGAAACTTGTCAACGCTGCCCCACGGCTTTTATTAAAAACAGTTTAAATACTGAATCACTACATTATATTTTCCAGCAACGAGAGGATAAAATCGCTGTTTTTGAAGTAAACTCACTCTAAAAAGAGAAACGCACAGACGCACACATGCAACTTTCATCTCTGTCTCTCTCTCTTGAATTGGCAATATTTAAGAAAAGGGTTTAGCGATTTCGAATTATTGGGGGGACTAGCCCCCTCAGTGTCTACGGTGGTTATCGTCCTGATCAGACATGAAAATATGTTGTGGCACTATCGTGCAGTCTGTAATGATATGACGTTAGTTAGCAAACTTTAGCGATTTTATGCTAACATTTCTTTGAGTAACATGACCGTAAATATGAACTCACGATTGAATGTAACAAAACAAATGATTACTTTTCGTTAAAACCTTTATTAATGCCAAAAATGCTTACATTTATGAGTCTTTGTGTTAGCTCGGGCAGCCATGTTGCTGCTGAAGCCGGTTTACGCTGAGATAATTCATACCCCTTCGTTTGAAGTGTGGTCCCGAAAATTCTTTGTTTGAAGGGCTATCTGGCCCTTCCCCTTACCCCTACTCCTCCAACCAAAAGAGAATTGAGACACCCCTACCCCTTCACGTGAACGCGCAAAACGGAGGGGTAGGGGAAAGGGGAAGGGCTAAGGGGTAGAATTGGGATTGGGCCTTGGTCTATTGAAATAGTGTTGATGTGGGATTTCTTATTAAGTGTTATGTTGATGCTATGCAAATGTTTCTTCACTGTATGATACTCTCAATTAACTGTGATTTGGTGGTGAGCTGGAAATACACACAAATACTGTAAATGCACTGTGAAGAAGCTTCAAGTCTTGAGTTTTGGTTATATTGGTTTTCTTGATGCTTGCAAAATTTAAATAGTCATGTTATGTGACCAAAATTGGAGACATAATGTGTGCATGTATCCTTTGTTCACTTTCCTTCCGACTTGACTTGACCAAATGATGACTCTTTAAACAAAACAAAACTTAATGTATTTTTATTTAAAAGTAAAGTGTTACACTGTGTGAGGCCAACTTAGACTGAAATTAGCCTTCTGTTCCCTTTCAGTCGGTCACTCTCGACGTCACGTTAGATGACCGACGAATTGGGATCTCGCTTAGAGAGACCAATCTACTTCGAGTGTAACTAAACGAGCCAATGCACATTGGCATGCGATTATTGCATCCAGCTGCCGCTGATCACAGCATGAGTATAATTAGGCAGCTGGTGTAGCGCATATTCAGCTTTTCGCTTCAGAGCCGATCAATTGTTTTGTTCTGCTCCTGACTACTGCTTCGGAGAAACTCAATGAGTTCAGCACGCTGCACGTGCAGCTGCTGCCTCCACCCGGCCACCGGCGGCAGTGCCTCAGTCTACTCGTCGCCGAGGGCGGCCCCCTGCTGCCACTCCCGCTCAGTAAACACAGCAGCCTCCAGCAAAGCTGCGCCGTGGAGCCGGTCGCAAGCAAACCTGGTGGCAAGCTGAAGAGCAAGAGGCCCTGAGACGGGCAACCCAGAAATGGAGGGAGCTGCTCTTCGGGAGATGGTGAACGCACCACTCCCTCCCCCGGAGGAGGGCTGGGCGGAGAATCTTTTATTTCTTTTTTCCCCACCACTGACTTCACAGACAGTGATACCCAAAACCTCTACAAAAGAGCAGTTTCTTCTATCTCTGGGTCCCCAGAAGGGAAGTGGAGTTGTGGACGAGCCAGTCTTGGATCACACTCACCCTCCTCTCTCGCCAGTGAGCAGCTGTGGGTGGTTCAAAAGTGTGATCAAACGTACTACTCAAGCACCCTCTGCCCGAACGCAGATAAGTGTTGCGCACACGCTGACCACGCTTCGGACCGGCAACGAGATGCCCGGGCCGGGTCCCTGCATTTCCCCTTGCTGCCCCACCACGGGTACATCGGTGGTTCCGTTGGTGCCACTTGTATGGTTTCTGGGAGCCTGGCTAGCGCTTCTCAGTCCGTCTCGTTGGCTCCGTCAGACCATCAGACTCCACTATGTGATTCAGTTCACCCGGCACCCTCCCAAGTTTAGGGGCATCCACTTCACTTCAGTGAAAGCAGCAGATGCCCCTGTCTTGCGTGCAGAGATCGCAGTCCTACTGGCGAAGGATGCGATAGAGCTTCGTGCCATTCACATTCCTGGTCTGCACAACCAGGCAGCCGACAAGCTGTCACGAACTGTGCTCCCGGGAGAATGGAGACTCCATCCCCAGATGGTCCAGCTGATTTGGAATAATTTTGGAGCTGCTCAGGTAGACCTGTTTGTCTCTCCAGAAACCTCTCACTGCCAGTTGTTCTACTCCCTGACCAAGGGAACTCTCGGCACGGACGCACTGGCACACAGCTGGCCGCGGAGCCTTCGCAAGTATGCATTTCCCCCAGTGAGCCTTCTTGCACAGACACTGTGTCTGTGCAAGATCAGGGAGGTCGAGGAGCAGGTCCTGCTCGTGGCGCCTTACTGGCCTACTCAGACTTGGTTCCCGGAACTGATGCTCCTTGTGACTGCCCCTCCTTGGCAGATTTCTCCGAGGAAGGATCTACTGACTCAGAGATGGGGCAGCCTGTGGCATGTGGATGGATACCCCAAGAGGTAGTTGACACCATCACTTCGGCGAGAGTACCGTCTAAGAGACACGCTTATGCCTTGAAGTGGATCCTGTTCATTGAGTGGTATTCTTCTCACCGAGAAGACCCCCAGAAATGTCCGATCAGAGTCATGCTGTCCTTTCTGCAGCAGGGGTTGGAGCGAAGTCTGTCTCCCTCCACCCTTAAAGTCTATGTGGCTGCGATTGCTGCCAACCACGACCCTGTGGAAGGGAAGTCAGTGGGGAAGTATCATCAGGTTCCTTAGGGGGGCGAGAAGGCTAAATCCTCAACGGCCCCCCTCTATACCCTCTTGGGACCTGTCTCTAGTGCTCAGAGCACTACAGCAGGGCCCATTTGAGCGTTTGCAGACAGTTGAGCTGAAGATTCTGTCAATGAAAACTCTGCTCCTGCTTGCATTGGCCTCCATCAAGAGGGTAGGGGACCTGCACGCATTTTCGGTCGACGATTCGTACCTAGAGTTTGGGCCGGCTGACTCCCAGGTAATCCTGAGGCCCCGGCCCGGCTATGTGCCCAAGGTTTCCACTACTCCCTTCAGGAATGAGGTGGTGAGCCTGCAAGTGCTGCCCCCGGAGGAGGCAGACCCAGCCCTAGCTTTGCTTTGTCCCGTACGAGCATTGAGATGCTACGTAGACTGGACACAAAGCTTCAGGACCTCAGACCAGCTCTTTGTCTGTCACGGAGGCCGGCAGAAGGGGAATGCCATCTCCAAGCAGAGGATGGCCCACTGGATAGTGGATGTGATCACCCTGGCTTATCAGGCACAGGGTGTGCCCTGCCCGATCAGGTTGCGAGCTCACTCTACTAGAAGTGTTGCATCCTCCTGGGCGCTGGCTCGGGGCGCCTCGCTGATGGATATTTGTAGAGCTGTGGGCTGGGCGACCCCCAACACGTTCGCTAGATTCTATAGCCTTCGTCTGGAGCCGATGTCCTCCTGTGTTCTCACCTCAAACAGATAGAAGCACTGAGAGGCCCCGGCTTCAGGTCGGCTTGCTAAAACTGCTCCAGAGTGTCCATATCGTAGACCCTGTCGAGCTCCTCCGTCCCCTCGGCAGCCAGACGTGGCGGAGCGTCCGGCGGCAGGCCCTCACTCGATGAATCCGTGAGAACCGGTAGTGGGCTGGGTTCCATATGTAGAGACCTAAGTGGATCCCATATGTGTAAAGTCCATGGTATAGTCTCAGAGCCTGTGTTTCCCCAGCAGACTTCCTGCTGTTTTCCAAGAGGGTTACAATCACCTCTAATCTTCCATATGCACCTAAACGGTTGTCCATATGTGTAAGAGCTTCCGAAACCTTCTTCGGGAAGGATGGGGCTTCCGCAACGTTCCTGTTCCAAGTGGTATGGGTACGTTTTCCCTGTGCTATCCAGTCTTACTGAGTGGGTAGTGCCATAGCAGCAGTAGCTGGTCTTCTTGTGGTTAGCCCCGGCCTACGCCAAAAAGAAGGGGCACAGGAGGCTTCCACAGGACACTGGAAGGAGCCGTATCTGTGGCCCTTTGGTAGGGATCCCAATTCGTCGGTCATCCGACGTGACGTCGAGAGTGACAGACTGAAAGGGAACGTCTCTGTTACGTATGTAACCCTCGTTCCCTGAAGGAGAATGTCCCGTTGCCACAGCCACCGCTGAGCGGCTGGGTCACCGGCTCGGCTCCTCAGCGAAAACCTGAATATGCGCTGCACCAGCTGCCTACTTATACTCACGCTGTGATCAGCAGCAGCTGGATACAATAATTGCATGCCAATGTGCATTGGCTCGTTTAGTTACACTCGAAGTAGATTGGTCTCTCTAAGCGAGATCCCAATTCATCGGTCATCCAACGTGACGTCTCCGTTTCCTCCTTCAGGGAACGAGGGTTACATACATAAACGAGACGTTTTGTCAACACATGTCAAAGCACTGAAACTTAAAAAAAACATACAGAAGGTTATTTATTTATTTTTCTGTAACATAAAAGTTAATATGTTACTCAAAGTACCTGCATCCTGGAAAAAAATCTTTATCTCCAGATGTTTGAGGTTCATCCATGATGTTTGATCTCCACCACTGACTCTAGATGGAAGAGACAAACAATCACAAAAACTACAGTAATTAAACAGCCTTATGTCATCATAATTCATGTCTGTTTAAAATGTCTCGATCTCAAGTCAAATTCACACATCAGTGATTAAATTGCTGCAGTTCACCAGTTATTGTTGGTCACTAGTTAATGGCTTAGCAACATAGACGGTACAATTACAGACACTGATGGACTGGTTTGGTGGTTGAAATGTCCATTGATCAGTTTGAATAGGTCTGATGACTCTACTGTATAGCTGCTGCCACATACAGGTGTGCTGTTGGTGTCGTATGCCTAATGAAAAGCTCTTCTGTGGTCTCTTTCTGTTCATGCTAATGTCAGACAATTGTATTTACACTGAAAAAAATAAGTAGCTATCTATTTGGTTTCCAGTAAAAATATTGAAACATCCTAAAATATGTTTTTATAGGCAAAACTGCATAAAGTTGGCAATAACATTAAATTATTTTTAACAAATGTAATGTGACACATTTACAGCCTGTGTCTAATATTTTCTTGTAACATTAAAGTATCACATGGATGGCAATTGAATGCAGATGAGGTTATTCATAGTAAACTAGGCATTGTAAGCTCAATATCTGGATATTTCGGGGAGGAGATGGGGTGAGGTGCATATAAGCACAATCTGCTGCTGACTAGGATTTCTAAAGGGAATTTTGCACAGGTTCTGGTACGGTTTTACAAATCTGAAAACAACAGTGTGTTCTCAAAATCTGCCTTTTCTGTGTATGCACACTTTTAGAATGAAATTTTAATTGAAGTTTTATACATGAGGCCCCTGGTGTGCCAATTAGCATATTTATGGTGATTTGTGGAACGGATATAAACGCTATGCTTTTTTTAATGAGCTGGAGCAAGAAACAACATGTTGAATATAAATACAACTGGAGAATACATTACACAACATCAAGTTCAGCATTAATGATAACAGTAGCTATGTTTCCATCCACCTATTTTTATGCACATTTTAGAATATCACATTAAAAATGCTAGATGGAAAATTCTGAAATGTACTCAAATGATTATGATAAACTTATCGGTTTATCCTACAAGAAGAAATGCACCTTACTGCTCATCAAAAAAGTCATGTGATTTTGCTTCAACAGATCATGTGATAAGAAAAATGGCAGAAAGCGAGAGGTTTGTTTGGATGAACGATGAGGTCCAAACATTTTTAAATATCATATTTGAAAATGAAGTGACATCAATTCTTGATGGAAAACATCAATAAAACACGCAAATCTTTACAGAAGTTCCAGCAAAGATGATTGTTAAACGATACGACAAAACTTGGACTATTTTACAGAATAAATGAAAGATCCTTAGGCAGCGATATATGGCAGAAAAAAGAAAGCTCGGACGTAGTGAAGCAGGTGGCAACATTTCATTACTTCAATGACATGGACAGGATTCTAGGACAGCGTGCCAGTGGTCACATCCCTGTCTTCCAACATGATTAACAAACTTCAGGCTGTCAGAGTGGGTTCATGCATTGGGGTTAATGGTGTTGTATGTTGACGTGGTCTGAGCAGGACTCTGAAAGTAATCTTTCTTAAAGAAAGTTGCTTTTACCTTTACCTGAAAAATATGAACTTTATCAGCATATAGTGGGTAATTCCTGCATTTATTGTGTCCCCAAAAAGAACTGCAAAATCCATTTTGTCAAACATAAAATGAGTAGTTTTAATAAGCATGCATTACTCTAAAGTTGATGCTGTGGGCTATGAACAGGAAATCTAGTGAATGCACAAACCTGTATCTAGTAAAATAATCAGTCTGATAAGAAATTTTGTGGTCAGATTCAAAAGATAGACACATTTTAGGAACCTGTATATTGCAAGGATTTTTTTCTTTGTTTAACTTCAAGAAGAGTTGTTGTTTACGTCTTGGTGTAAAAATGCATTCTTTTTCATATTTAAATTTTCTGTAATTTTCCACACTGTATATCTTTAAATCTAAAAACTCCTGTGATAGAGTTTGTTTGTACAAAACAAAGAAAAAAGGACTTTATGATTATAAAGTGTTTACTGAAACAGTTTTTGTTTATCTTTTAGACAGGTGTAATAGCTCAAGACAATCCATAGCATCATCTACACAAACCCTCCGGAGGTCTTCCTTTAGGAAATCGGAAGGTTGTAAGAGTAGGTCTAGTCCAGAGATGTTTTTTTCAGCACTACATGGAGCAGGCAGAAAAGGAAGAACAAATCCTACAAACCATGACCAACATGATAGCGCAGGTGGTGTAATGTGTGCATGTGCTGAAGCAATATAACAGCATGCAGGGCTTATGAAATGATGGCACACAAACAGGACGGCGCCTATGGCACTGTGCAGAGTCACTCCTTTTATCCATACGTGCCACACATCCCTTTTCATCCACCACCTACTCCTTTTTCTTCTACTACTGCTTACACCCAAACAGTCCAGAACCCTGCTACATCTACTGAAAGTGAAACCAGTGATGAATCTTGTAATTCATCCACAACATACTTTAATTCAGAATGAATATGTTACAAATTGTTCTGTTCTGATCAAGGTTTGTTGGTTTATTGAAGTTTCTCAGTGACATTACAATACAATACAGTGTAAAAGAAAAAGGCCTTTCTTCTTCTTTTTGTTCAGGGCCAAGAAAAGTAATACTTTACTTGTTTATTTCTATTATTGTTCAATTTTAAAATCAACTGCGGGTGGCAGATCCTTTTCCTATTTAGCGCCCAAACTCTGGGCAGACACACTCTTGCAGTTTAAATCTAGACTAAAGACCCATCTCTTTAACCTGGCTTATAACACACTAATACGCTTCTAATATTCAAATCCGTTAAAGGATTGTTAGGCTGCATTAATTAGGTCAACCGGAACCGGGAACACTTCTCATAACACCCGATGTACTTGCTACATCGCTAGAAGAACAGCATCTACGCTAATATTAGTCTGTTTCTCTCTTATTCCGAGGTCACCGTAGCCACCAGATCCAGTCTGTATCCAGATCAGATGATCACTGCAGTCACCCAAATCCAGTACGTATTCAGACCAGATGGTGGATCAGCACCTAGAAAGGACCTCTACAGCCCTGAAACCTGAAAGACAGCGGAGACCAGGACAACTAGATGAGCCCCAGATACAGATCCCCTGTAAAGACCTTGTCTCCTAGACGGCCACCGGGACAAGACCACAGGAACCAGATGAGTCCTCTGCACAATCTGACTTTGCTGCAGCCTGGAACTGAACTGCTGGTTTCGTCTGGTCAGAAGAGAACTGGCCCCCCGACTGAGCCTGGTTTCTCCCAAGGTTTTTTCTCCATTCTGTCACCGATGGAGTTTTGGTTCCTTGCCGCTGTCGCCTCTGGCTTGCTTAGTTGGGGACACTTGACTGATTGCACAGACACTATTGCAAGAGAGCTGAACTGGATGATGATATCACTGAATCATCAATGAACTGACTTTAGCTGAAAAATGACTCTGCTGTTGTCTTCTTGCATTATTGACAAACTATTTTCCTGTTTGATACTATAAAGCTGCTTTCACACAATCAGTATTGTATAAAGTGCTATATAAATAAAGGTAACTTGACTTGACTCAGGTGAAGGGTGAATGCTGGGTGGTGTAGTTGCATTCATCTCTCTCTAATTTTATGTACTTGCTCATCATGTGTGCACGAATGGCCCAACACACAGAATACACACAACGGTGAACTGTGGTTTTGCTCAGGCCAAATATCTCCCCCACAAACCCTATATTCAGCACATGTGGGCAACTTATACAGCGCAATGGCAATGCGTTTTTCTGACGGATGACATAACAGGACTAACCAGGGGACCGATCTCATCGCACAGCACCTGAAATCTTTTTTGTCATTCTGAAATGCCTTTTCCAACGTGTCATCAAAGTGGTTTGGTATAATTAGCGCCCAGAACATCTTACACGACTGCATTCCCAAACAGCAGGTTTCTGTCTCCAAACGCAAGATGACATGACCTTGTTTATTGTGTTTCGTCTGTGTGCTCTGAGATGCAAGAAATTTATTATTGACAAAAAAGGTTCTCTAGGACCGAACTTGCCTACCCCTGACCTAGACTCACTGGATGAAAATGGTGATTTATTCGCAAATATTTTAAGTGATATTCTAGTTTTCTAGTTCAACTTTGGATGGAAACATAGCTACTGCTATATTAGAGTCATTTCAACAGAAGAAATGTAGTCCTACACTTCATGTTACATGTCAGTGTCACACTGCTGTTAGATGAATAACATACAGTCTTTAATAGTAATCCACAGGAAAACAGACAGGGATTCCAGGAGGAAGGCAAACCAACGACGTGTTCAGATAAACAATAACCGGTAAGGTAGGGTGACCATACGTGCCATTTTCCCAGGACACGTCCTGGCCAGGATTTGTTTTGGCTTTGTTTTCATGCTTGCTGAAGGTTATGATCGAAAAGTAGTTTGACCAATAACATGCAAGCATTGTACATAATGGACCAATCATGGCGTGTGAGAAGGTGGGATCTACGGTCAAAGCCATGCAATTATGCTACATATTAGGTGTGTTTGACTTAAAAGCAGTGCGGCTCAGACCGATCAGTGTTTGACATCAAAGTACCTCGAGAGCGTTTCGAAAGCATAACTGTCTGTATGGTACTTAGATGTCATACTCCGATCGGTCTGCACACGCAAACAAAGCCAAAACCCAGATATTTTAGGCAATATAGAAATCCTGGCCAGGACGCGTCCTGGGAAAATGGCACGTATGGTCACCCTAGGTAAGGACTGAATAGAAACGGGGAGTGCTTATACAAAAGCTACTAAAAGGGACTAATGACTAAATTAACAGGACACAGGTGAACAGAATGAACTAATCAAGGGAACTAAGGAAAACTAGGTCAAGAGACTGAAACAAGGCAGGAGAACAGAAAAACACTTTGACAGTCAGCTTGATCACTGAGTCATAAAATATTTTAAATATATACCAAAAATCTGAAACAGGGTTTGATGGCTGTTAGCTTTGCTTTATGCAAATGAAATTTGCATTGGAATATTAATAATTTTTTAGTGTCATCAACTACGGAAAATCCAGTGTTACAGTCTAAAACAATATTGAGTTTATCTGTTGTTAGTATTTTTACAAAATGTAGCAGATATTCATTTTGAGATATGGCAAGGTGTCTCAGTAATTAGTTGAGAAAGGAAATGCATGAGTAATATCTATGACTGAAATACATTTATTAAACACAACTTTATTACAACCCTTTAAATAACTATGGGGTTAGTTGTAACAACAGCGGACTACTTTCATTTACTCTGATCACTATATAAATTATAGTTTGAATTATATAGAACATTAGATTGAAACATGTCACAATCTTGTAATCTCTATTTGTCCATATTTAACCATGTTTCTTGAGTGCTTCGTGATTTAGTATTTTAAGCTTACTCACATTAATAAGGAAGTGCCTTTGTGCTCCACAGCCGAAGACTTTTTTTTACGTTTTCCTTTACGTACGTGTAAATTCCCACAGCAGCAAATATAAAAGACAGGTTGATGATCAGTTTTTCAAAATAAAAAAAAACCCAAATCCTTTGATCAGGTGTAAACGTTGCTTGTGAAACGATCAGCGTTCTCTTGTATTTCGTCAGCAGGGTTGTTAAACCTGTTTGGAGGGGGAAAACAATCTTCGTCCTCATGGTTTTAACGCAGTTTGCTTGTGGGAGTGACTAGAGACTGTTTTGATCAATTTAACATGCCACAAGTGTTTCAAGTCATTCAAAAATATTTTTGTATATCAACAAATGATCATATCAGTATTACTTGATATATTTTAAATCACTTGTTTTCACAAATCTGTTGCTCTAACAGTCATAACATTACGTTGCTCTTACATTTGATCATATCATCATGAAGCTTTTCGATGTTGAAACTGATGAAAAACTATTTGTGAACGACATCAACACTGCATCAAGAATAACATATCTAAGCTGCACTACAGACCTTCCTACAGATCTTATCGAGTTTGTGGCCAAGAAAATATGAGGAACACGTTGTTCTGCAATTGTAGAAGAAGAATGACTGTATAACAGATGAAATAATGAAGGGTTTTAGCGTCAGAGAGTCACAAACCCTCAGCATGTGCTAGAAAATATTTGATATCGGCTGAAAATGTATTTCATAAATTGAGCTGTTTAACTTTTTAATGTCGCATGTCACTGATTTGACTAAAAACATTTCACATCTCAATCATTACAGACAGTATCTGTTCCAGTAATAGTCTAGACACCAAATCACCATTCTCATTCATCTCGTTAATTATCATCACTTCTGTTGTCTGAAAGTTTAGCATGTTTTCATAACTGACACTTCTGAACAGTTAATGAGCAGCTCCATACCAGTACACTCATAAGATCAGAAACATTTGCTGAAGGACAAACATTGATGAATTAATGAAGAAACTGTAAATCTGGACTCAGTAAACTACTTGTTTTCTCAGAGTGTCTGTCTGATCTAGTGGCCATTTCATAATCTGTGACTCAACAGACTTGCAGACAAACCTGTTTTACACGTCACTCAAACACTGAGCCAGGAAGAGCCTGACGGTAGAAACCTCTCAAGGACAGTGTTGACTGCATCGCTCAAAAGGCCAGACGGCGAAATCTGGGCGTTCAGCAAGAAGGCCTTTTCTTTTTCTTTAATGCCGGAGCGGTTTAACCACAGATGCCTCTCTTTGGTGACCATTGCTTCACCATTTCAGGATCTGTTCCCTCACTTTACGTTATTTTGCCACTGGATCAGTTCCAAATATAGTAGCCGAATTTACAAATCTACAGAACGTAGAGTGATATCCGCAGGGTGTTTCTGGTCCTGGCTCCACTGGACTGAACAGCTTGAGAACGCATTGCATGACCCAGCATTTCAGAAGTTTCCTCAAGTCACTGGGTGATGTTAAGACAAAAAGAGAAAGAAAACTTTGTTATTGTTTAATGTTCAAATATATCTTTAAGAAGTACCATCTAGTAATACAAAAATATTCCCATGTAAAACAGGGCTGTTTATACACAGAGAAGCTAACAAGATAACAAGGTGTAGTATCTTCAATAAAGATCACGCTGCTACTTGTATCGAGTTGAAGTTAACATTTTACTTTCTGTTTGCAGCAATCACACCAAGAACACAACACTTGTAATACAACATGGACACCTAGTGGTTATCACAGGATACTACACAAGAACTAGAGACACCTGCGGAAACAAACAAACAAGAGAACCAATCAAATAGAAGGACTACAAAACTAATACACAGAAAACAGCCAATACAACATAAAAGTTCCAACAGAATAAGAAATTACTACAAAAATGTATAAACATAACTGATGACATGCCTTAATTTATAGTTCGTAATGTCAGCTACGTAACCTGACATAGTAATGCATCTTGACTACATAAATCCTTGACATTAACGATTTGTGACTTTAGTACCAAGCAAATATTTCAAAATACTCTTACTGTAATTTTAAAAACACAACTTAACTTGTACCTCTCAGCACATAAACTGCCATGATAAGGAAGTACTGACAACGACAATTAATTAATTAACTAATAAATACAAACAAACAAAACTATGTTGAGCAAAGCCAGTGAATAACTATTACTAAAAAGTTGTAAAAATCCCTATAACTTTAAAAGAACACAATTATAATGAACAACACAGGAACAATATTGTTGTTATCACTTTCAGAGTGATTTTGCGCAATCCCTATGTGTGTAACGAGCAGAGAAACGACCTTATCAGTTTCCAGCATATCAGGCAAGAGTGAATGTTTGCATATTATAAATATAACTTTTCAGACTATCAGTCATTTCACTTGTAACCCACGTGGCACATAAAACAAGAACTTTTACACTCTGTTCCACAATTGAAGCGTTATTCCATAAATGACAGTGAATAGTGAGCAGAGCTTGTCAAATCCAAAATGGACAAATACTATAGTCCAGGGCTGTCCAAACTCGGTCCTTGAGGGCCGGTGTCCTGCAGAGTTTAGCTCCAACCCTAATGAAACACACCTGAACCAGCTAATCTGGCTCTTACTAGGCATACTAGAAACTTCCAGACAGGTGTGTTGAGGCAAGTTGGAGCTAAACTCTGCTGGACACCGGCCCTCCAGGACCGAGTTTGGACAGCCCTGCTATAAGCACTAGAAAGGCACCATAAAGACAGTCCATGTCATGATTCCTGTCTTATGTCACCTGGTTTGTGCATGGACTTTTAGTTTGTAGTTTCCGGTTCCTGTTCCCCCTTATCATTGGTTTGATTGTTCCCAGCTGTGTCTTGTTTGTTAATTACCCTCTGTGTATATAAGCCCTTGTGTTTTCTGTGTTCTTTGTCTGGTTTTGTTTGGTGTTCTCATTCTGTTTCCTGGTTTGCGCTTCCGGTTTCTGGTAATTTGGGGTCTGTTCTTCCTACATCGCTAACTCAGTTAGCTGGATTTGATTGTTGACGATTTGGCATGATCTTGGATGCAGGCACTTGTAGCAAATGTAGCACGGCCAGTTGTCGTTGGAGATTCTTAGTCCTCCTTTCCGTTCTTTCAATCGCTTTACGTATACGTCGACTTTCCATGTCCATTATTGTGAAACCCGCGAGACACAACAAACACACAGCTCCGATCACAGCGTCCTCCATCCTCCTGTTGTTAACGTAGTTCTTCTTTGTTTCTGTTGTTGAACACCGCACACAAGTGACGCCGCTGTCGACCGGCTTACGTACACTGTCGGTGTGAATACAACCCTTTAAATGGTACTCAGAAATAGTTCGGAAAAATCGTCCCAGTACTTTAGTACCGTACATTTTAGTTCTGGAACTAAAGCGACGCAAAAGGCCCTATAGCACAGGTCGGTAAGCTTAAACCTGCTCGGGAGCAGCTTATTTCATGTAAACAGGATTAGATCGCATCTTTTTAAGCAGAGTTGATACTTAAAATCTGTCCGCTACCACCGCTACTTTATTACAAGAGTTCCCTACTGATCCAGGAACAATAATTTAAAATAATAGTAAGCTTAAACCTGCTCGGGAGCAGCTTATTTCATGTAAACCGGATTAGATCGCATCTTTTTAAGCAGAATTGATACTTAAAATCTGTCCGCTACCACCGCTACTTTATTACAAGAGTTCCCTACTGATCCAGGAACAATAATTTAAAATAATAATCATTTAATGTGTAATTGTGTAGTCTATTATACCATATTTATATATACACACCATATTTCATATACCATTATTACTCAATGAAAGATTTATTCGTTATGAAATAATTGCACACATGCTGTACAGTTAATCTTGAGTTGTGCATTAATTTGAGTGCTGACAGATATTATGGGAGTGGCTTGATGGAGCGCAGGAGATGCAGATAACATGATCTTGCCCCTTAAGAAACTTTAATTAATGCGGTCACGTAACAAATCTGCTTCAAAGATCAAATGACATGAATTGCTAATTACAACATTGCAATAAAAATGTAAAGCCTGTACAAATACAAGAAACTGTGAATATAAATAACTGGGAATCATGTTAAAAAAATGATAGTGCACTTTTAATTGATCTGTTATAACATTTGTCATTTTTTCCCGTTTGGTTGTTTCCTCATAACTCTCCAGAAATGTGTCAAGTTTTCCGTCATGTGTCTAATCGTGGTTTCAAGTACTGATAGATCTGCCCTTTTCAGGGAACACAAGAATGCACTGTAATCTCAGACAACTTAATCCAGATATTTTAATCAAATCCGCAAATTTGTTTGAAGAAACAAAATAGCCAGAGATCAGTTATCACGATTAGAAGGTCTGGCATCTTTCAAATCAGCTCAGATGTATTAAGTGAGGTGTGATGAACGGACCCCTGGTCTAAGTGTTTAGTTTGTTATAAATCTCACTTCACACTTGGATCCAGCTCTCCTTTTTCTTTGAGTTCACCTCCCTTCTGCACTACACTCTAGAGTAGACTTCATTCTAGTCCATATGAGAGTGCTGTGTCACATAAGGACTGATTACTGTCCCTGCATGTAAAACTCTTCAAAACTCTCTTTGCCATGTGCACCAGGAAAGACAAATCACAACTTAAAGAAGTATGCTAGTAATTTATTATTGATTATAATAATATGCACAAAATACTTTTTCTTTAAATAAAAAAAGAAAATATCATTAAAGGGATAGTTCACCCAAAAATGAAAAACCCGTCATTAATTACTCACCCTCATGTCGTTCCAATCCGCTAAGACTTTTGTTCATCCTCGGACCACAATTAATGATATTTCAAATGAAATCTGAGAGGTTTCTGTCCGTCCATTGACATCCGAAGCAACTTTCACTTCGAAGGTCCAGAAAGCTAGTAAAAACATCATGGAAGTAGTCCATGTTACTCTTTTGTGGAATGCTTTTTGTTCACCAAAAAACAAAACTAATGACTATATTCAACATTTTCTTCACTTCAATCTCCAACATGCATTTACGAGAGCCTTTTCTTCTTCT